AGGGGATTATAATCAATGTAATGAAATAAGGTATACGATTTGTTGTATGAATAATTGATGATATGCCCTGTGAACTTTCACTTAAGCCACAATAAAAACCTTAAATTATTAAAATAGAAGTACCATGAACAACATTGCGAGAGATGCGTCCTTAAAAACAAAACAAAAAAATTGTCGTTGAGTCGACTTCACCTCAGTGTTTTCAACAGTTGGTTTTTATTTTGAGGAGCAGATCACCAGGTGTTTCTTCTTTGGTGCACTCAAACCATCTGCTTTTCAGTTAGCAGCCAAGTGCTTAGTCCTCTGCACCATCCAGGGGCTCCTGTGAGATAGCAAGAGCCCTTTATTACTGGAAGATTCTCAGAGCTGATACCCAATGCTGCAGATGGGATCTCTGTAAATTTAGTCAGATAAGAATGAAATAGCTTTGGGACCTCAAAGCCCTATTGTATTCTGTGTATTTGATGGGAGCGGTCTGCATGTCCTTAAGATAAAAAAGGTGGGAAGTTAAGCGTAGTATTTTGTTGTGTTTTTCAGTTGCCAGGACATTCTGTTCCAAGCAGAGATGATATGATGCAGCCTTTGTGAGGACCTCAGATGGGATCAATTGGAACTTTGCTGGGCCCCTGGGGCAAAGAATGTACTCACTTTCCTTGTTCTCCCTTCCAGCCCACTGCTCAAATGTTTGCACTCACCCGTACTCCTGCAATAGGAGTAGCTACAGATTGGGGTTGGGGGTGAGGTGGGGAGCTATTTCTGCAAAGTCCTTCTCATGAAAGACTCTACAAAAAAAGTCTCTGCATTTCTTGTAGATGCAATGGTTTTGTTTGCTTGCTTTCATATACGAGGGTCAGTCACAAAGTACTATTATTAGATTCTAGTTCACTCGTGCATGGGTTTATTCCAAACAAAATCGATTGAAATATACACGTCTCTGTGTTGAGTGGGTAGATGGCAGCAGACTGGTTCTCTCAGTAGCACACTTGTCTTAGTCCCCTGAGGCTGTCTTGGGGGGTGGGGGTTAGTCCAATCAAAACAGTTACTTCGGAGAAGAAGAATCCAGTGCTGGGACGGTTCAATCCCAGGCATAGAGTTCAGCTGAGAACATTAAGGTGATTGTTTTTTGGGATTGTTTTCTGGTGTGGCGCTGTAGGATAAGCACTGGGCTGCTAACCAAAATGTCAGTGGTTCAAACTCACCAGCTGCTTCTTGGGAACCCTATACATGATCACTGTGAGTTAGGACGGACTTAAGGGCACTTCATAACAACGAAAAGGGCCATCTGGATAGATAATCACAGGGACTTCTTAAGAAGAAGTTTTAAGAAAATTGAAAACTACGTCAGTGAGGAAAACACAAGGAAAGATTCATTGAGGGTTTTTTTCTTTTTTCTTTCCCCCATCAAGACAATGCACCTGCTTGTTCTTCAGAGATAGCAAACGTTGTCCTATGAGAATTTCATTGGGAAACCTTAGCCCACTCACCCTGAAGACTTATATTTGTTTCTAAACTTAAAGACCATTTAAAAGGAAAGTGATTTGAGTCCTTCGAGGATGCCAAACCTGCGGTTTTAACGTGATGTAAATCAGAGTGCAGAATTCTTTGGAGCAGGGTTAGAGAGATAAAAACACAGCCTCAGAAATGCATGGACCTAAGTGGAACATAAATTGAGAAACAATAGCTTCACATTTTGAGATTTTTATTTAATAAAGGTTTTCAGGATTTTGTAGCAATGCTTATTGACTTCCCTAGTATGTGTTTACAGGCTCATAGAGAATAGAACAGGATCCCTGGGGTTGCAATGGCAAAGTTCTCAACGACTGATCGAGAAGTTGGTGGTTTGACCCCACCCAGCAGCTCCCTGATACAGGGTCGCTATAAGTCAGAACTGACTGGACTGGACGACACTTCACAACAGCACCAAAGCAGCTCCGTGGAGGAGCGGCCTGGTGGTCCGATCCTGGAAATGCTACAGTCTAGAGTCCTGTATGGGGCAGGTCTACTCGGTCACCTGGGGCCACCATGAGCTGGAGTCAACATGATAGCACCCAACAGAAATAACAGAAAAGAAGTGAGCTTACCATTCTGAGGACTTGCCATTTCCGGAATCTGTCCTCTCTTTCTTGCACCTTAAAGACTCTACATCAATCCGTCTATCCAGCCACCCACCCATCCATTCATCTTCCCTCCATCAATCCATCTATCGCACCATCTACCCACCCACCTACCCTTTCTCCATCAGTCCATCTATCCATGCAGCCATGCATCCATCCTCTCTCCATTCATCTATTCACCCATCTATCCATCTTCCCTTCATCTATCCATTATGTTTATGTGTCCATCCATCATATCTATCTATCTATCTATCTATCTATCTATCTATCTATCCATCATATCTATCTATCTATCTATCTATCTATCTATCTATCTATCTATCCATCATATCTATCTATCTATCTATCTATCTATCTATCTATCTATCTATCCATAATATCTATCTATCTATCAATCTATTCCATCCACTCATCCATCTACCCACCTATGCATCTAGCCAAACACCCATCCAGCTATCTGTGTACCTATATATCCATTCATGCATACCCCTTCCTTTCTCTCTCTCTCTCTCTCTCAGACAAAGTTTGTCTGGAGGAGCTTTAGTGAACAAGTGAACAGAAGTAAGTAAGCATAGAAGTGTATTCTGGGAATCACTGCCATCTTGTTCTTGTTCTCCAAGCCATTGGGAAGCAGCTAGAAGTCAGAACCAGTGGCTCATTACATCAGCCATGCCCTAGCCATCCCATAAATCTTCGTGGGTTCTACAATGCAATTTAGACCATTCTCTTTCTTCCCCACCTTCCTACTGTTTACCTGTCTTCACTCTGCACATATTTCCACAGGATGATAAGGACTCAGGGAGTGATGTGCTTCTTGTCCATCTTCCTCTAGTTTCCCTAATTATTTGCTTTCACCACACCACAGGAATTCGTATTAACATTATTTTATCAATGTAGACAGGGCACTAGTGGCACAGTGGGTTAAGCATTGAGTTGATACCTGAAAGGGTAGTGGTTCGAACACACTGAAGGAGAAAGGGGTCTCAGGCTGCTCGTGTAACAATTTGCAGCCATGGAAATCTTACGAGGCAGTTCTACTCTGTTCTGTAGAGTCACTAGGAGTTGGAAACAGAAATACCATATTGCCAGGGGCCATGATGGCTCTGATAACAATTACATTGCAACAACACAGCGCAGCGAGGGACCCTATGCATGAAGAAAGCCCATTGTACTGCAGAGCATCAATGGGTGCCTTGTTGATTTGGCAGAGCCTCAACAGGAGAGTTCATGCGGGGACCTTGCAGGCTTTGCTGTTTTATGCCTGTTTTATTATTTTAATAATAATAAAAACATATTATTATAAGTTGATATATGAATCTGAGTAATCAGAATAATACATTTTCCTTTTGATTTTAAGTTATATCCTCTTTGAAATTTGAAGTATAGCCTTCATGATTTTCTCTTTACATACCAACTAAAACACTGCTAGTACAACTTAGAGATCATAATCTAGCACCTGTGTTATTTAGTTGAACAATAACTTTTTAAAGTAACTGAACCATGATGTAGTTACTATGGAAATTTATAGGAACATTAGTGGAAGATTGCTCTGAATTTTTTACTTATGAGTTATAATTATTAGGACCGCAGCTAAAGCTCTGTAGTGTTGATATTTAATTATGAAGATTTCAGTGAAGTACGCTGTTAAATAAAACCATAGCTTGAAAGTAGAATCATAGAATTGTTTGTAGATTATTAGTAGAAAAGAATGTAGGCTTAGTAGGGAGTAGCAGGATATAAAGTGTTTAGTTAAGCTTTGAAACACTTTAGGAACATTTGGATCTAGTTACAGATGATAGGTTTTAGAGAATAGTGAATAGTGGGTTAGGGGTAGCAAATTCCTTGAAAACGTTAACTTGACATTTTAAAATTAGAGCTTTGTTTGAAAAAAATCTAAGACATTCAAAAGACGTAAAAAGAACAAGGAAGATTTTGATGTTCTTAATGTTCTATATTGTAATGATTAAAATGTATGATTTAAACCACTACTTTGAAAAGAATGATTAAGAGATTAATGGTATGGAGTAGTATAAAAGCTGTTTGAGAATCTGAAATAAACGAGAGAAGAAGATTCACCATTCATTGAGACTCATTGATTTTGTGCTTTCTTCGCCGACACCACACATCTCTCTAGGACCCCCTAATAAGTGTGTCGTGCTGGTCCGCGACACCATATGACTCAGCAATCTCTCTATTTGATATTTATCCTCAAGAAATAAGAGCCATGACACAATAGATCTATGAACACCCGTGTTCATTGTAACACTATTTACAATAGCAAAAAGATGGAGACAGCCTAAATGCCCATCAACACAGGAATGGCTAGGCAAACTTGAGTCCATACACACAATGGAATACTACGAAATGTTGAAGAAAAATGATGAATCTGCAAAATACCGCATAGCATGGATGAACCTGGAAGTTATTATGCTGAGTGAAGGCAATCACAAAAAGACATATATTGTGTGAGATCACTATTGTAAAAAGTCAAGAAAAGATTTTTATACTAAATGCAACATTCTTTGGTTAGCAGGGGTGGGAGGGCAGGGATAATTATTCATTGGCATAATTATTCATTGGCTAGAAGGTAGACCCACCATTCGTCTGTCAGTTTGTTGTACTGTGGTGGCTTATGAGTTGCTATGATTCTGAAAGCTATGCCACCGGTATTTTAAATACCAGCAGTCTCACCCATGGTGGACAGGTTTCAGATGAGCTTCCAGATGAAGACAGACTAGGAAGAAGGAGTGACAAACTACTTGTATTACAGAGAATTGCTCTCCGTAGGCTGCAATCTTTACGGGAGCAAATTGTCAAGCCTTTCTTCTGCAGTGCCACTGGGTGGGTTCAGACTTCCAACATGTAGGCTGAGCACAAATCTCATCATCAATCACAATATCTCCAGTGATGATCCTTGTTATAATTGTGAGTTAACGAACACCATTTTTTCCCAAATAAATGTCCATCGTTTGTACACTCCCAGTAGATCAGTCGTTTATACCAGAAGGGAAACACACAGTCTGCAGTATCTACCAAGAGTAAAGAAATCATCAGAATAAAAAACATTTTTTCTTTGGCTCCCCACCACAACGCACACATTTGCATGCACACATACCTAACACATACACAAACACACTTCTGCTTTCCATTCACATCATCCATTTCACCAAAGTCACATGAGGACAGTACTGGTGAGAAATTGAGACCCATTCTGCCAAAGCCAAGTGATGATAATATTGTTGGGAGATTGAGACCCAGTCCCCTAAAGCCAGACAATGACCATACTGGTGGGAGGCTAGAACCCAGTCCACCAAAGTCAGATGATACAATATTACTTTGATTTCTTACAAAAGCAATTTCTCTTCAAGGTTGTTGTTGTTGTGAAGTGCCATCGAGTCGGTTCCGACCCATAGCGACCCTGTACAGGGTTTCCAAGGGTGTAAATCTTTACGGGAGTAGAAAGCCTCATCTTTCTCCCGCGGAGCGGCTGGTAGTTTCGAACTGCTGACCTTAAGGTTCGCAGCCCGATTCGTAACCACTACGCTACCAGAGCTCCTTCAAGGTAGTGAGGCTAAAGTGCTCATCATAGATTTTGTTGTGATGTGATTTTTGTGCTGGCAGAAAAGCACGTGTGCATTATTCAAACAATGTATTTAGCTATTGATTCCATTTTCCAGAACATTCTTTTGGATTTCACCCAACCAAAACACCAGTGCCCAAGATTACCATTTTGAAGTATTCAAAAGCAAGACACTCACCCTCCTTACCACAATACTTCCAATATCCTTGGTAAGTCTTATTTAATGAGCACCAGTTGTGTTTTGCTGAAACCCGGATGCAACTATAGAATGTTTGTTTTTTATAGTTGAATGGAAAGGCACATTTGCCATCTAGAAAAAAGAAACGAAAACTCTTCATCCATCTGTGGGAGTGTCCACTGAAATGCTTCCATTTCCATTCTTCTGAACATTCCTGCATCACACAACTCACATGACAATGGAACTCTAGGACCAGGAAAGATAAAGTTTTCCTCCCAGACCCTATCCCATTGTTTCCAGGCCCTAAAGAAGTTTGCTTAGCATCTGATCCCAGTTAAGTAATCTATCCCAAGCTTTGTTGATGTAAAGTGCCGTCAAGTTGGTTCTGACTCATAGAGACCCTGTACAGGGTTTCCAAGGAGTGGCTGGTGAGCTTGAACTGCTGACCGACCTTGCACTTTAAACTGACCTTGCAGTCCAGCACATTAACCCATCCACAGCACCAGGAACATAGGCATTTATTTAACAGAAAAAAAAAAAGTTTTTCTTGCCTATCTTCTCTTCACCCTCTTTTACCACCTCTGTCTCTCTCTCACACACACTCTCACACAATTCTTTCACACACACACCTTTCTCTCTCACACAGTTTCCCCCCACACCTACTCTCTCATACACACAGTCTGCCCTACATGTATATACATTTTCTCTCACACATACACATGCACACAGTTTCTATTATACACACTCTCATAAAACACTGACACATTCTTTCACACACTCCCCACTTTCTCTCTCATACACAGTCTCCCCCACACACATGTACTCCTCTCTCGCACACACACACGTATACACAGTCACACATACCCTTCCAGCTACATTTGTTGTTGTTAGGTGCGATCGAATCGATTCAAGCCTCGACTTTCGTTATTGAAGGATTTTCTGGGCAAATTATTGAATGATGCAGAAAGCATCAAAAAAAGATGGAAGGAATACTCAGAGTCACTGTATCAAAAGGAAATGGTTGATTTTCAACCGTTTCAAGAGGTAGCATATGATCAAGAGCCAATGATACTGAAGAAGGAAGTCCAAGGTGCATTGAAGGAATTGGCAAAGAACAAGGCACCAGGAATTGATGGAATAAACATTGAAATCTTTCAAGTAAGTAAAGCAGCACAGGAGGCACTCACTCATCTCTGCCAAGAAATTTGGAAGCCGACTATCTGGCCGATTGATTGGAAGAGATCCATATTTGTGCCCATTCCAAAGACAGGTGACCCAACAGAATGCGGAAATCATCGGACAATCTCTTTGATATCTCATGAGAGTAAAGTTTTACTAAAATACAGAAACAGTTGCAAGCATACATTGACAGAGAACTTCCAGAGGTTCAAGCTGGATTCAGAAGAGGCTGTGGAATGAAGGATATTATTGCTGATGTCCCTCTTCATACACGTTCATAAAATACACTGACACAAATTCTCTTTTACACATTCATATAGTCTTTCACATATACAGTTATTCTCTCTCACACACCCACACACAACTCTCTCTCACCACACACACTTTCTCTCAACACCTGCACACTTGTCACACACACAATCACCACCCCTACACCCTCACATGCTCTTTCTTTCTCTTATGCACACGCCTGTGTACTTTCTTTCTCTCCCACACGCCTATATACTATTTTTCCCTCTCACGCACATACAAAACGCTGCCAGCTCTTATATTATCTGCACAATCATTGTCATATTTAAAGCCCGCTGTTGCAGCCGTTTTATTGAAGGTCTTCTGTTTTTCAACGACCCTCTACTTTACCAAGCATGATGTCCTCCTCCAGGGACTGGTCACTCCTGATAACATATCTCAACTAAATAAAATGATGTCTTGGCCAATTCGATTCCCTTTTTTTGGAACTGGGTCATTCATGTCCTGTGAACTCTTCTCTTTGGAGTTGTTTGTCAAGCTTTTGTTGTTGTGAGCTGTTGGGTCCATTTCTGACTCATTGTATCCCCACATGACAGAGTGGAGCTGGCCCAGAGAGTTTCCTAAATTATAATCTTTTAGGAAGCAGACTGCCAGATCTTTCTTCCAGAGAGCAACTGGGTGGTTTCAAACCGCTGACCTTTTGGTGAACAACTGAGTGTGTTACCACCAATTTGCCACCAGAGCACCTTACAACATCTGCTGTTGTTGTTAGGGGCTGTTGAGTCCATTTGAGTCCACAGCGACGTTATATGATGGAGTAGAACTGCCTCAGAGGGTTTACTAGGCTGAAGTATGTTTTAATATCTGGTAAGACTAGGTGTCTCTCCAACGCAGCAGTGTATTTGTTCACAGTATTGCTAATTATCACTAAACATTTATTTCCTATATGAATTTAAAAATCAGATGTTATCTATTTGCTAAGGCAGAAATGAAAGATTAGAACTATTTAGTGCTAGTGAAAATTCACGGTGACTTTTTCCCTAACTGTCCACAAGTCACTTATAAAGCATTTTTAAAAGGGGAAACATTTTTTACCGGGAAAAAAAGAATCAATTCCCTATTTTTACAAAATTTAAATGAAACACACTGAAATACTAAAAGTCTTCTGATCCACTTACCTCTCATCTCTGGGAAATGATATGTAGTATCTGAAAAATAAAATGTGGTGCTGACATTTATTTCATTCTTCTTAGACTTTAAAATGTACTCAGATAAAATTGTATGGATAGAAATGTTCGTTTGGGGACATGTGAGATTGTTGCATTATGTCTACCATCTAAGGACATGGAAAGATCTCCCATCTTTCAGATCTTGTTGCACATTCTTCAATAGGATTTTACCATTTATCTCATTTTTTGTTAACATTTATCTTTAAAAACAAAAAAACCTTCTTCTTGTGAATTGTAGGTGAAGGTTTACAGAGCAGATCAGTTTTCCATTCGATCATCCCTACACATTTTGCTTCAGAACATTGATTGCAGCCCCCACAATAACATACCATCAGTGACCCACTTCCTCTGTGTGTTTCCTGTTTCCATTCCTCCTCTTTCTTAACCCTTCTGAACTTTGTCCTTGGACAAATGCTGCCCTTTTGATCTTAAATGGTTGGTCATTCAAAGGTGTGCAGAACTCTCTAGTCTTATTCTACCCCCTCCTGCCCATACCCCATGTATAGATTGATCTATTGCTTGTCTGAAAATTGAGCCATGGAAGTGAGTTCATTTCCATACTTGAAGTGCTGTGGAGTCAGTTCTGACTCATAGTGACTCTCTAGAGGGTTTCTGAGGAGTGGCTGGTTGGGTTTGAACCACTGACCTTTCAATTATCTAGTGCTTATCCTACAGCACCACACCAGGACTCCCCGAAGACTAAGGGCCAAACTCTCAGGTGTTCCAGCTCTCTCTATCTGACTGATAAGCCTGTCTTCCCATCCCCACCCCCACCATATTTTGTTGTTGTTGAGTGCCATCAAGTTGGTTCTAATTTAGGCTGACTCTGTGACAAGGTAGAACTGCCCCATAGGATTCTCTTGGCTGTAATCTTTACGGAAACAGATTGTCAAGCCTTACTTCCAAGGAGCCACTGAATGGATTGGAAATGCCAACCTTTCAGTTAGAAGCTACGACCTTAACCATTATCACCAGGATTCCTTCATATTACCATTGTTGTTGTTAAGTATTCTGGAGTCAGTTTTGACTCATAGTGACCCTTATAGGGTTTCCAAGGCTTTAAATCCTTATGGGAGCAGAAAGCCTCATCTGTCTCTGAGTGTCTAGTGTGCTTGAACCTCCAATCTATGGTTCACAGTCCAGTGCTTATCCTACAGAACCACCTTCATATAACTCCTATATTCTTGCTGATCTAATTCCCCAATATTTTTTGTCACTTTAAGGAAAATTTTTTCCTTTCCGTCATTGTTTAGTAGCTTCTTACGATTACAGGAGGAGCTCTGGTTGCACAGTGGTTACGAATCAGGCTGCGAACCGCAAGGTCAGCAGTTCGAAACTACCAGCTGTTCCACAGGAGAAAGATGAGGCTTTCTGCTCCTGTAAACATTTACAGCCTCAGAAACTGTACAGGTTCCGCTATGAGTTGAAACCCACTCCACGGCACATAACAACAACCATTACAGGAAAAAAAGGAAGACTGTGTGTATTTATCTTGTATCCAGCCACATAACCAGACGCTCTGATACTACGAGAAAATTTTGCTAGTGTCACTAGAGGTTTTTAGGTATTCACTCATAAAATAAAGTTTCCACTTGCATTTTCTATAGGCTTATGGATAGTTTCTTTTTACAACGTCACATGTATTGCTGTTGCTGTGCGCCAGCAAGTTGATTCTGACTCATAACAACCCCATGGAACTGAGTTAAATTGCCCCCTAGGGTTTCCTAGTTGTAATCTTTAAAAGAGCCGATCGCCTGGTCTTTTCTCCTGCAGAGCTGCTGGTGGATTTGAACTGCTGACTATTCAGTTAGCAGCCAAGTGTTTAAGCACTGTACCACATGTGTTTGCTGTTAAGTGTCTCCAAGTCGGTTCCAACTCACATTTGTCAAAGCCCCTCAAAATAAAGTTAACTAATATTTATCACAAAAGACACCCCCAGGCTTTCCTGATTTTAGTTGAATTGATATTCAGGTTAAGACTGCTCATTTCAGTGCAGTTAGTATATTAGCTCAAAATATGTTACGTGCTGTTGAGTTAGTTCCGACTCATAGTGACCCTGTCTAGGGTTTCCAAGTAGCAGCTAGTGAGCTTGAACCACCGACCTTGCAGTTCAAAGTGACCTTGCAATCCAGAGCATTAACCCACAGTGCCACACCAGGACTCCAAATACAGGGATCCATTTAAACATATCAACCACTAAGGAAATTCAGAAATAAATCATAGCTAAAAATTTGCAGATATTAACAAAGATGAGCATATAAATAGATACTGAAATATTTGTACTTCATCTTTAAATGATAAAAAGAACATTATTTCATCACACTCTATAAAACTGTTTTTGCAAAACTAAAATTGCATTATGTAGTTGTATACCATATTTATCACTCAGAAATGTTAGCATGGTCATCTTTGGCAGTAAAAACCATGATTTCTCTTTCCGTATTTTTCCTTAACTGATTTAATACCAGGGAGAAAAGTACTAAGTGGCTTCATGTTGTGTGTCTGTGGGAAATTTAAGAAGAAACTCTAACAACAAAAGCATCTTTTTTTTTTAATCAACTCACCTATGTTTTGCAAAGGGTTATCTGAAAGACACAATTTAGGGCATATATTTATTTCACTACATTTAACTGTAAAATAAGGTAATAATGAAAATATTTTATCAATTTCCTGTCAAGAACAAATAATAACATTTGGAAAGGTACTCAACCAACACTCAATAATGCTTATTTATGGTGGTGTGATTGTGGATGACTTCTAATTTTCGCTCTGCTTTTTTTTGAGAAATTGCATTTCTCAAATATTATTGAACAGAAACAATTAAAATTACTTTTTAAACAAACACTTTTTAGCAGGCAAAAGTAAATGACTTACTTGTTCACATCTTCTTACAAAATAGGCTACATTATAGTAGGAAAAACATACTGTATAATTTCATCTTTTTTTCTCTTTTTGCTTTGTTTTATTCTTCCCCCCTCCCTCCAGGACTATCTGAAAGATACAATTGTTTTTTCTGGTCTTGTAGAAATTTTTCATAATAGTTTTAAAGAGGTATAATTCACACACTATTAAACCCACCCATTGTTGTTGTTGTTAAGTGCTGTCGAGTCAGTTCCGACTCATAGTGATGCTATATAGGGTTTCTGAGGAACAGCTGGTGAGTTTGAACCACTGACTTTGAGGTTCAAACTGACCTTGAGGTCCAGTGCTTATCCTTCAGTGCCACACCAGGACTCTTATACCTATCCATTGTTGTTGTTGTTATTCAGTGCCGTCAAGTCAGTTCCAACCCATAGCGACCCTGTATAGGGTTTCCAAGGATTGGCTGGTGAGCTTGAACTGCTGACCTTGTGGTTCATGTGGACTTTGCTGTCCAGTGCATTAGCCTACAGCGCCACACCCACCTACTGAATGTATAAAATTCAATTTTTTTCGTACAGTCATAGGATTGTGGAACTACCATCGCAATTATATTTAGACCATTTTCATTACAAAAAGAAATCCTGAAGTCTTCTTAAAACCAAACAATCTTTTAGCTTAACAACTAAAGGATGTCTGCCTTGAGCACTGTGCTCATTTAAGAATTGTTGCTGTTGGTTCCAAATCATAGGGATATGGTATAGGGTTTCCGAGGAGCGGCTGGTGAGTTTGTACCGCCAACCTTGAGCTTCAAACTGACTTTGCAGTCAAGCGCATTAATCCACACCAGGACTCCCATGTTTTACAAAGTAGAAGTGCTCCACAGGCTTTTCTCGGCTGTAATCTTTATGTCACCAGGTGTTACTCCACGGTATCATTTGTGGCGTTCTAGTCACTCCGTGGGAGAAAGATGCGGCTTTCTACTCCCGTAAGGATTTACACCCTCGGAAACCCTGTACAGGGTCGCTATGGGTCGGAACCAACTCGAAGGCACTTAACAACAACAACAACAACAGTCACTCCACAACCTCACCAATACTTGGTATTATTAGTATATTTGACTTTAACTTCTCTAAATAGGAGTCCTGGTGTGGCGTTATGGGTTAATGCGTCAGACTGCAAAGTTGTTTGAACTGCAAGGTCAGTGGTTCAAGCTCTACAGCTGCTCCTCAGAAACCCTATACAGGGTTGCTATGGGTCAGTTGCTACGGCACTTCATAACAACAATAGGTGTATGGTGGTAATGGAAAGTGATGTTATACATCTTTTTTATATGCTTAGTTGACATCAGGGTTTATTTATTTATTTTTTTTTTTAAAAAGCATCCCAACTAATTAAGATATGAAGCCAAAGTTTAGAACCACTCACTTCTCTAAATGTTCAAATGCTTGTCAGCTGTCATTAAAATATTGTCTCTCATTCACAACGACAGTACCCTTTCTCAGCTTTTCTCCAGCCAGTGTAGAGGGTGCCACACTGAGAAAAGATTCCTGTTTTAGGGCCTATGCTTCTAACACACAACCATGTTGCTTTCAAACCCTGGCACCTTGCCCCAAAATTAAAGTCTAAAAGCAAGGATTTGAACTGGTGATGACAGAGACAATTCACACACACACACTCACAAACACACACATGAGGAGGCTTCAACAAGTTCATGGCAAATTTGTTATCTTTTAACTCCATGTTTTCCATAAACTTTTTCAAGTCCTCTCGTACACACGTATGTGTGTATATGGAATGCTGGTGGTGCTGTGAAATAAACACTGGACCTGGAACCACAAGGTTGGTGGTTTGAGCCACTCCACAGGAGAAAGATGAGGCTTTCTGCTCCAGCAAAGATATACAGTCTAAGAAACTCTCTACAAGGTCGCTATGGGTCGAAACCAACTCAATGACACTTAACAACAACAATTTGTGTAACCAAAAATATGTCATTTTAAACATTTTTTGCATGTGCAATTCAGTTAGTTATTTTCAGCACATATGTAACCATCATCATTATTCTTTCTCAGTTTTCCCCACTGTCCTTAACAGAAGCTCAGTGCCCCACCCAGAATTACCTGCTTATCACCAACAGGCTCCAGTCTCCATACATTTGCCTATTGAATCCATACGGTTTCCATTGCCTGATTGTAGAAAGTAAACGGGTAGGTCTTTCATCCTTTCAGCCTAGTCTGTTTTAGTTTGGAAGCTTTGCTGAGATTTGTTCAACACCCTAGCAACATACAAACCTCCACAGACAGGCCGCTGTTGGCTGTGGTTAAGATGCATTGGCTAGATATCAAATCCTAGTCTCCTTCATGGAAGGTAAGAATACTAGCACTATTGACCCCTTCCCAAAGGTAGACCTGGAGTCCTGGTGTGGTGCTGTGGGTTAATACGCCAGACTGCAAAGCCAAGTGAACTGCAACGTTGGTGGTTCAAGCTCACCAGCTGCTCCTCGGAAACCCTATACAGGGTCATTATGGGTCGGAACCGACTCGATGGCTCTTAACCACAACAAAGGTAGACCTGCTGCTGGTCGGTTCCAATTCATAGCAAACCTGTATAGGGTTTCTGAGACTGGAAATCTTTACAGGAGGGAGCAGAAAGCCTCATCGTTCTTCCATGGAGCAACCAGTGGATTTGAACTGCTGACCTTGCAGTTAGCATCACAACGTGTAACCCATTACGCTGCCAGGGCTCCTTAAAGGTAGACCAGCACCACATAATTGTAAAGCTTGGCTCATGTACCCAGGACTAACTGATTTTAATTTTTTATAGATTGTTTTAAGAATTATTACATCACCAAGACTCCGGGTGGCACATTATTAATGTTCTGTAGAAAAATGCAGACGTGAATCCTCTGAGAAACAAACACTGAAGATAGAGAGGTTTAAGGACCGTCTTGACCAGCGTCTTTCACTCTTCTATTTTCTTTTTTTATGTATGCACAATAGTGATTTCTGATTTTTAAAAATCTGGGTCCAATACTAAAGTGTTATTTTTTAGTTCCCATAAAGATTTACAGCCTCGGAAACCCTGAACAGGGTCCTTATGAGACTCCACCACACATCACCACCACCACCAAGCAGGAAATAGACAGTATCTTTTTCTTCACCGAATCAGCAGCTGGGTGAATTCAAACTGCTCAACTTCCGGTAAGTAGTTGAGCGCTTCATAGCTGCAACACCAGGAGGACTTTATTAGTGTATAGGAAATAAGGATGTCTCTTACCCTCAGAACCGACTCCACGGCACATAACAACAACAACTTACCCTCCATGGCATCTTGTTGTAGTTAAACGTCGCC